CCTCCCCTGTGGACAGCCCCTCCACTGTGGACAGTCCCTCACCCGTGGACAGCCCCTCCCCTGTGGACAGTCCCTCCCCTGTGGACAGCCCCTCCCCTGTGGACAGTCCCTCCCCTGTGGACAGCCCCTCACCTGCGGACTGTCTTCATAGCACTCAGCGCTGTCTTTGGCCAACATGTTCACATATTTGTTTTGTGGTTTGATTTTTGTCTGTGGCCCTCTAGAAATCATTGCTGTATCCACAGAACAGTGTCTCACATGCCCATCCCTGGTTCTTGGCTGATGTCACCCCCAGTGGCTTAGTGGATATTTATGAAATAAATAATGCTGAACGGGTCATTGTGCAGGGTACCTGACATACTTTGGCTCGTTCATTCTTTTTCTCCTCCAACTTTTATTTGACAAATTTTAAACATTAAGAAAAATGGAAAGAATAAACAATGAACACTTGAATATCCTCCAACTAGATTCAACAATTAGCATTTCACTATATTTGCTTTGTCTTTACCTCCATGCAAACATACTTCTTGTTGTTGCTGAACCATGTGAGGGCGCTGCAGACCTCGTGAAACTTCCCCCTTAAACACTTCAGCATCTGTCTCCTACGAATATGTGTATTGTCCATAAGTACAATGTCATCTCACACCAAGACAGGAACCATTACTCCATGCTGGATGAGTATAGAGATATGATAGAGACTGTATTTAAATTTCCCCAATTTTTTTTAAACCAAGATCCAATCAAGGTTCACACATTGCACTCGGCTGTTATGTCTACTTACTCTTCATAATAACTTTGAGGAAGGCACTAAAATTCCTACTTTACAGGTAAGGACACTGAGAGTCAGAGAGGCTGAGGAACGTGCCAGGATCACACGACTGCTAAGTGGGAAAGTCAAGATGCTGTCACGCATCTCTGACTTCCAAACACGTCTTTTTTCTCGCTTTCCTGCATCTTACTCCCCTAGTCCTCTTGGTTCCCTGGAGGTTTCATTCCCAGTCTCTGGCTGATATGATCCGTGCAAATCATGGGCTGGGGCCGAGGTGGAGGCGCTGACCCAGTTACTCAGTAGACTCGGTCTGGTTTGCAAGTTCCTCCAGCCACACACCCACTCTCCACCCCGATCTTGTCTCTGTTGCTGTCTGAGACACTAGTCGTCGATTGGGAGTGACAAGGCATCCTGTTTCTGCCTTTTTTATTTAGTGGAGGATCCACTTGCAGCTGGGCAGAGAGACAGATGTGGCTCTGGTGGAGGAACAAAAGGTGGCTTTTGCTTAGGTGTGTAGGTAAGGCTGCAACAGGGATTGAGAGAACGTTCCACCTGGATCATGCAAGCTCATCCAGGAAGACCTGTAGAAGAGCCTTCACAGGGCAGGAAAACATCTCCCTGAGTCATCAGCTGCTTGCTCCCTGCAAGTCAAAACAAAGGTCCTCCATGCTGGGAGTTCCACCCCTGGAGTCCGTCCCTGGATTGTGAGTAACTAACA